TCACTAACCTCATCAGTGCACATTCACGTCGGCGCTGTCAAGTCAATAGGAATCTGCTTTGAGGGCAGATTCAGTGATGCGGTGGAGAGCTTTACGATAGCGCCATCTAATCAATTGTCAACCTAAGTGTAAGTACTCTTTAAAAGTAACTGAATTTGCCTTTGCCGAAGGATTTGAGGTGAAAGTGACTTTGGAGAGAGAGAAGAAAAGAGCAACCACCGGAGCACCGTGTCGACGATAAGTCAGCGACTTTTCTTACAAGCTCCATCTTTCAAACTGGCAGAGGATTTTTATTCATCAGAGTAAAACTGAATCAGTCACTTGATGAATGGAGCACGACCGAGCCACTCTGAAGAAATGTGCAGGCTCTCAGTGGAGTGAAGAATGAGACTCGTTTTCCATTTTTAAGGTAATAATAGTTCACTTAAAGACAGAAAAAAAAGCACTAAGATTAAATTCCACCCTTTTAAACAGGGCAGTCCAAACGTTCAGAATGATTCTTGGTCCATAATGAAGCATAAAAAGGTTTTCAGCAGTGAACGATCAGTTTTATTTCGTCTTATTCTGTCTCTGTTTTAGACATCATTGAAGGTTTGGAAAAAGTCCATAAAAAATATTCTTTCAAGATCCATAAAATACGTGAATATTTACTATATACAAATATATCAAATGTACACTATTTAGCCTAAAGAAGTGGTTCCCAAACACCGGGTTGTGGACCAATATCGGACTGTGGGTATGTGGTACATACTACGCTGCACAGAATTAATTAAGTGTTCTGGTCCATTAGCAAAAATGTAAATATCATATCTTAAAGATATAATTAAGTGTTCTGGTCCATGTAAAGTGTAAAGTGTTCTGGTCCATGTAAAAAAAAATGTAAATATCATATCTTAAAGATAACAAAACAATGTATAAAAGGCAGAAGATAATAATAATATTTCTGTTGTCTTCATAGTAACTTTAACCAGAGCTTCCACCGTGTTTCCTAACGACTGACTCATGCTCCTTATTCTTTCAGGTGTCATCATCTCCTCCTCCTCTTCCTCCTTCTCCTCCTCCTCCTCACTCGTTGTGAAGCGTTGTTATGAGACTCCAGTCCGTCCCGAATGTAACATGTAATTAAAACCTCCCCCTGATGTTTCCTCATCACCGCTGCTCTTTAGGTTCCTCTCTGTGTGTTCGCTCCGCTCTGGTGCGCGTTACCTGAGCAGCAGTTCATCATTTTTCATATTGAAGAATTATTTACACTCGTCTCCCCACAGCTGCTGCTACACATTTACTGAAGGCACACGGCATGAAAACATACTTAATTATGCCGTCTCGCATTATTACATTTCAGTCATACGTGTGTGTGTGTGTGTGTGTGTTCATGTGTGGTGGACTCTGTAGCTACGGTGATTCATTTTGTTTGGAGACCACAGGGATAATGACTCGTCTCTTGAAAAACATCTCAGAAAAGTTAAATATTCATACAGTAAACGTGAGGAGACCTCAGATCACTGGTGTCTAAACTCTGGCCCTGGGCCCCATCATGGCACTTAAGATGTTTTAAGGAGGCCTTCAACTTTATGTTAAAATAAAAAAGGCCTAGGTACATTTTTATTCTTCTGTTAATATTGTTTTTAGCATTATTTTAAACATTTTGAGAACTGAGTTTTACTTCATTTCCAGCAATTATTACTAATGTTGGTATATTTCGATCATACAGACTATAAGTGGCACTTTTTTTTATCCTTTGGCTGGGTTTGCGGCTTATAAATTAAAATATACAATTTCTCATATTTGTTATTTTCACACTGACAGCCGCTAGAGGGCACTAGTGCAACTTATACTCCGGAGCGACTTATATATATGTTTTTTTTTCTTCCATAATATGCTTTTTTTGGCTGGTGCGACTCCAGAACGACTTATAGTCCAGAAAATATGGTACTTTTGAAGGTAATTTTAATCAACATTTTAATTTTAAGCCCATTTTTAATTTATTTTGCGCTTACCTTGAGCTATGTATTTTGTTTTGCTAATATTATTATCATTGGCTATTTTTGGTTGTCCCTGCAATGGACTTGCAAATTGTCCAGGGTGTATACCACCCCCACCCTCCTCTCCCCTGTTGACAGCTGGGAACGGCTCCAGTGATTTTCCATCATTATCCATGATATACGACCAAAAAGTTCATTCACTGTGTCAGCTGTTTGTCGAGCCTGGTTCTGTTATCCCGCCCTCACAGCAGGCACTCGTGCAGCTCAGACAGTTTATTCTCCGACTTAAATTCCATTACAAGCCAGTGTGTCAATGCGGGGATTATGCAAAGTGAGTGAACATCATTAAACAAACATGGCGGCTGACTCCTCATGTCTTAGGCGTTCGTTTTACAAGGATTGTTATTTCACATCATGTTTTGAAACCTGTTAGCGATGATGTCAGTCAACCGTCTGGCGTGAAGACGATCTGAACGTCTCAGGTGTCATTTTGATTGTGAGGATGGTTCTGCAGGATTATGTGGGTGCTCGCTGTAGAAACGAACTCCAGTTTGCCTCCATCCATCCATCCATCCATCCATCCATCCATCGTCTACAGCTTATCGTGTTAAGGGTCACGAGGGGAGCTGGAACCGATTCCAGCTGGCGTTAGCCAGAAATTGAGGTTACGCTCTGGACAAGTTGTCATTATATCACAAAACGTTTTTTTATATGAAGTATATTATTAAAAAGAAGACAGCACAGAGAGAGCAGAAACATATCTGATGTTCACAAGACCAAATACTTTCAGCGACTGTAAAAATTACATCGGGGATTCATCGAAATGATTCTATGGGTTATTGTGTAACGACATCCTTTGTAATGCAAATACACCAATGAAAATAATCCATCAGAGGTTTGATCTAACCTGATGAGGCTGATGCAGGTGTCAGGTTTCCACAGTGTGTATTCTCTGCTGCAGCCACCACAGGTGGTGTTTGTTTCCCCATCCAGGGTTTTATTGTATTGTCATCCAGAAAATACAAAGGCAAATTACAGTTAAAAAAAAATATATATATATATATATATAGAGAGAGAGAGAGAGAGAGAGAGAGCCTGTCAACAGGAAAATAAATCCATTATATCTGTTTCACACAATAAATGAGTTGGGGAAAAACCTGTCATCTGTGGAAAAACCATTTAGAATTTCAATTATAAATGGATGTTTAGCTGAATAAAGCAGCATAAGGAACCACGGGGGGGTGTTGGCAGTTAACAGCCAAATGCACCGCATCTATGGACTGTGGCCAAATATTTAGTAACAGTCAGCTCCTTACGGTGGAGATATTTACTACACTCACTGTAACTGCAAAAAACTAAAATATTAGTCCAGCAATGTCTCAAAATCAGAGAGAAAGAAGCACGACGAAAAACATCGCTAATTAGATTTATCAACCAAAAATGTAAATAAGCTAAACATTAACTAAAAAGATAACATCATTTATCTAAAAGACCTTATAAAAAATATAGTACTGTTTAGGATCACAAGACCATGTCATTTATCCAAAAGACCTCATAAAAAATAGTACTGTACTGTAGTACTGTTTAGGATCACAAGACCATGGTGTTAATTAAAAATATTTTGTTTTTTTTCATATACGTACATTAATTAACAGTTACATCTGAAACAAGTGAGTACTTCCCCATTTTGCAACTGTTCTCTCCAGCAGGTCTCAAATCTAATTTAAATAAATGGTGTGTGATTTACGCACTGCTCCACTGAACAACTGTGCTGCTCTACTTCTTATCATTATTTAATCAATTCCTAGGGCTGTGAAAATGCCAATATTAATGCTGAGGCGGTGAAAATAAATGCAGATGGTTAATCAGTGGCCTGTTGGACCTGTGTATTACGCCTGTTCTGCATAAATGCATGACGTGTGTCTATGTGTGTGTGCCAATATTAGTGCCAATATTACCGTTGATTGCTGTTACTTGTCTGCAGGTAATGGCCTTTTTATCTCTCTGTGCCCATGAGAAAGCTTTTTCTATGTTAATGTACCGTTCCTGTGGAGTGCACTCGACACGCTTTGCATTTTGAATTTTGCTCTGAGGCATCCTGCAGGAGGAGGAGGATGGCACTCTCATATTTTTCATCTTTTCTTTATGCTTCAAAGCAAATATTCCGTCTGCAGCACGATGAAGACTCCAGACTGTCTGTGGAAAAATTATTCTGCTCCTCCTGCATTCTTTTAAGTTATGTAATTCTCTTTATCTAGAAGGAGAAGGAGAGAGAAAGTAAGAAAAGAGAGAAAAAGTCTGAGTAAAAACATGAGAAAAAGTGAATACATAATTTCATATACATTATGTCATATACGAATGACATCCTATTGCTGAAAGTTAAGAAACTGGGTCATGTCTTTTTTTGTTTTAATTACAGATTTTAATTGTTTGTTACTTGATAATATAATTGTTTTATTATTGCACATTGAATTTTTGTCAGCAGTTATAACTATAAAGTCGAAGACTTTCTATGTTTATTTAATATAAAAATCGAAGATGACTTCGTCAAAACAACAGACAAAAATTAATGTTTTTATCAAATAATTTTTCAACTCTACTTACTATCAGAAATAAAACACAAAATATTATCAATCACAGTTCAATAAATGTACACTTATATCAAAGTTTAATACAATTATTTTTTATTCTATTTAACTCAAATTAAAGAATAAATGTAAGATATAATAATTATTTATTTTAATTATTATCCTCTATCATATGAACTCGTTTTTGACTTAAGGCAAGCAAGTTAAATGTCTAATAAATGTAAGATATAATAATTATTTTAATTATCCTCTATCATACGAACTCGTTGTTGACTTAAGGCAAGCAAGTTAAATGTCAGTGTGCTTTACTGCAGTCAATTACGGTAAATGGTAGCAGTTCGATGTGATGCCTGTTCAGTTCAATTGAATTTGCAACTTCTTTTTTTTATTAAATACATAGCGACAGAGCCCTTTTTAAGAAAACGTATTTAAAATTTCATTATCAAAATTAAACCATTATACAAGACCGCGAACTGACATAAAAACGACGTTATATTGATACTAAATGGATGACGTGTATGTTGTGGGTCCTTCGGACTTCCGGGTCTAGTAAACAGGTAGCTAACGGAGCCGCCTTGTCAAAATGTGAGTCTTATTCTAATAAAAATAACATACAATACTTATGTCAATTACTGTTGTGACCTATTAAATAACATGTGTTTGTGTTTCTTCTTCTCAGGTCTAAAGTTACGTTTAAAATCACGCTGACGTCGGATCCCCGGCTCCCATACAAAGTGTGAGTACACTGAAAACAGCACTTTCCCGTTATATATACATTCATTTAAAAAGAAAATAAATAATTTCGAACCATCATAGAATATGCCGTTCGTCCTGCTTTCACTACACTTTATTGATCATCATTATTTCCGCAGTTTTAAACATATTGTTGTACATCAATAGCGACACGACAACATCTGTTACTCTGAAGCTGTGATTAAGTTTTTTTTTTGCATAGGATCCTATTAAAATGTGTGAATTATAGCCGACCGAAGAAGATTTATACGCTTGCATTTAACGCAAAAGCTATCATCATTACACACACAAATTGTCACTATTGTCGGAAAACAAATGTAGTGCATAAAACCAGTTATGTCCAAAGTCTGGTCCATGATGCAGGTGTTGTACGAGGAGAGGGTTTAATCGCCCTCTCCTAATAAATTAACATCTTCACTTTATGTATTGCTTTGGATGATGGATCACTGTGATTTTACCACAAAGGTTAAAATAATCTGCATCTGATTCCTGCACCAAATGACGAGTCGGGTAATCAAGAACATGTGTCTCATCAATGTTTTGTTTAATCTGTTTCTTAGACTAAGTGTTCCAGAGAGTACACCGTTCACAGCAGTGTTAAAGTTTGCAGCTGAGGAGGTAAGCTCAGGATTTGTTTTTCTTTTCAGCAAGGTAATGACTAGTTTAAATTACACTGATGTTGACAACAGACATTTCCATCTTGAGCAATAAAAATAAAGACATTTTCAGCTCTGTTTGATTTTATAGGAGCGCCCATGGGACTATTTGTATAACTCTATACGTTTAGAACGTGACATTGGCAATTAGTAGATTTTCTTATTGATGATAAAGATAATTACTTTGAATCTCTATTGTGACATTTGGTTTTAAACTTTAAACTGTCATGTATCAGATATTAAAGTATGTGTACTCAGCAGTACTGCTAATTGGAAAAAACCAGGCATGGGTAATTATACATGACCTTTACTAAGCTAGACTGAAATCTCATTGTGAGCTGCAGAGATAAATGATTACCTGTCAGCCTCACTCTTTAGTCATCGTTCTTCTTCAGCTTGTGCTCAGATCATTGCTGCTGTCTGTACAGGGTGTGTAACACTCAACAGTGTGTCACACCCTTTACAAAAACACACTTTTGATACGGCCCCTTAAAGTAGGAAAGTCTTACCCCCCGTCCCTGAGTTGTCCACACACACACATTGTCATTTCCTCAGTTATATCCCTACAAATTATTTCTTTTCTTCTGAGACGTCTGCAGCTTTTAGCTGCTTGAAGCTGTGGATGTTAGAGCGCCGTAACTCACGGTGGATAAATCTGTGTCCTTCTATGATTTATACAGACTTTGCCCTCAGTTCCTGTGAAATAGAACAAAAACAAGTCTTTTATTACATTAGCAAAAATGTTTATATAAGGTCAAATGGAACAATCTGTTTAACATTTGAGTCTAACTTTTTTTTTTCATTTCAGTTCAAAGTGCCATCAGCAACAAGTGCAATTATTACTAATGGTGAGTTCTAAGGAAAAGAGATTATACACATTTGTGGGTGTGTGTTTTTGTGTGTCTGGGCAACCCTTGGCAGAAGGTTTTAATCCTGCCCTGGCTCTGGTGTGATGAATAAGCACAAACAATTCCCTGTTGTTTTTCTTTGTTGTCTTTTTCTTCTTCTTCCTCTCCTTCATTTTCATCTTCATGTTCCTCTTCTTAGTCTTCCTCTTTTGTTCTCCTTCTTTCCCTTCTTTGTGTTTCTTCTTCATAATTGCCCCTTTTCTCTTCCTCCTCTTCTTCTACAAAATAATTTACAAGGATGTTGTTTCTAATGGAGACACTTTGTTTTATTAATATGTTGGGAACTGTATTTGGATCGTTTGTCTAAGTTTGTATTCACTGTGTCTAATGTGATTTCCCAACTGCAAACATCATGAATATGGAAACAGATGTAACCGAGTGTTTAACTGTGCAACAATTAGATGTTAAATATCAGGGTTGCTGATATTGTAAATGATCTTTTCTTTGTTCTCCAGGTTTTCCTCATTTCACAACAGTACTTTCATTTTCTGTTGTTGTTGTTGAGGTTTTTTTTTTTTAGTCTATTTCTCAGGGCAGAACCAATAACAACAGCGCTGTTATTGTTGCTGTTTTCTTCTGTCACCTCCGTGTGGCGTCATTAGAGATAAACAGCTGATATTGTAAATGATCTTTTTTTTGTTCTCCAGTTTTTCCTCATTTGCACGACAGTACTTTCATTTTCTGTTGTTGTTATTGAGGTTTTTTTTTTTGTTTTCTCCTTTCAGATGGAATAGGCATCAACCCGGCCCAGACAGCAGGTGAGTTCCTCTGTTTCAAACACAAAAATTAAGCTTGTTGTTTTGTCGTCAGCACTAGCTTTGTAGATGTAGTCATTGTTCACAGTTGTTGTCGGTTTAGTTGATGTGAAGTATATGCAGCGTGTATACAGAAATATAAATAGCAGCAGAGATAAATGTATGCAGAGTATATACAGTACATGTAGAGGACTTTTTCAGCAGAGGGGTTGATGTGACGATCGACTCCGATCGTAAAAGAAGGAAATGTTTAAACACTATCTTCACAGCTTTTACTGCAGTAATCTAGAGTTTATTTACAGATCAATTTAAGGCTACAGAACTCCAACTCAGGCTGGCCACAAAGTATAGAACAGTAAAACTGTCCTGTGACCCCACGACTCTGGAGAGATAATGAATGGAATGGACGTACACTTATTCAGCCCTGATATATAGATCTTCATAGTACCACTGTATTAGAGCTAAAATCACTGATTTTCTGACCTCATACAGGCTTAGAAGCCAAGGAGTAAAAGTTAGTTTCAAGGTCTGTTCAGAACAGAAGCATAAACAGGTGCAAACAGGAAGCACTGAGAATGAAACGAACCAGAAGTGCAGCAACTTCAGCACACTCTTTTCTACCAAACTCCATCAGAAACACGGAGAACCCTGCCTGGAGACGCGGCTTCGGTGTTTAACTAAATTAAAAGTGTGTTTGTGACTGGAGGCAGAGTCAACCCACGGAGCAGTTCACTCAGACACAACTTCACATCTGCACTTTACTGCTGACTGCTGGTGAATCACTGCTGGGTGGTGTTTGTTGTTGTTGTTTTGTTTTTCCTCTGTGTCAGCCTCCTCTCTGTTTTTCCCTGAGGCTCAGTCTGAACACGTAGCCTTGGCCGTGTCTGTCCTGACCGGAGGCAGCGTTTGGTCTTTTCTGCCACATTGAGGAAACCAGAGGTTACTTTTAATTTTGTTTTTCGCAGAAACACGTTTTATCTGCGGTCCTCGTGCTGCGTGCCCACCTGTCTGGAATGGCCTGGGTTCACTTCACACACCCACCTCTGTCAGATTGTCTCCTCTCACACACACCACAGCCTGATGCTCATGTCCACATCCCTGAGCACAGAGGGGGGGTAAGAGGAGAGGAAACTGATCAGGTGTAAATTACAGCTGAGCCTGATCTCACATCTTTTCTTCTTTTGTTGGGAAGACAATTATCTTACGCTTCCTGAAAACAAATTACTAAAATACAATTTGTATTCATTCATTTGAACCCTGGTCTCTCCGTATGAATGTAAAAAAAAAAACCAAAAAAAAAAACACACACAAACAAACAGAGGAGAAAGAATTATTTTTTCCGTTTTTATCCTTGTTTAACTGTCGTTAGTGAAAGTTCAAGGAGGAGGAGTCATTGGGAGAGTTTTCCCTGCTGCGACGACACCTTGTTAATAGAGCGTTTCGGCACTGACGTCCACAGAGACACCTGCATATTAAAAGAGCAGATAATGAAGTATGATCCTGACGAGCCGCTCCGTCTCTGTCCCGTGTCTGCAGGAAACGTGTTTTTAAAGCATGGCTCGGAGCTGCGCATCATTCCCAGAGACAGAGTGGGAGGACAAGTTGACTGATGCTGGTTTTCCCTGGTGGACGTTGTAATGACTCCTGCAGCAGAATCCATGGCGTATATGTCAACGTAGTGATGATCCTGGGCCCGACACTGACACTGACTCTCCAGAGGATAAATATATACAGATATTTAAGGTCGATTCTGCCTAATGCTAACACTTGGTCCGCTGTCTGTCTGCATCATGTTTTTTGTGTGCTGCATCACAATGTGGCTGCATCCAGGAATGGATTTTAAAAGATGAGAAAAAAGAAAATTTTTTTTCTATCTTTGTAAAATCAGAATAAATCACCATTATCAATAAAAATAAATTCTGTCCTTTTTTGTCAAATTTTATTTAATTTAGGTTATTTTTTATTTAACATGTGTACTGTTTGTCTTATACATTTGATGATTATTCAGCATTTGTACAAATAAACGGTATCCTGGCAAATGAACTCTGACGTCACACTGTTCACCTGGTGGATCTTTGCTGCCCTCTGTCAGGTCACACAATAACATCGGTACTTTACACAAAAAAACTAATTCCAGGTTCCACTCATTACCACAGGGTTTTAACAAATTTATTAGAGTAAAAACGTGCGAGTACAGTATGCTGTAGTTGTGCAAACCACCCAGGTTTAAACGATCTAAAATAGAAATAAAATTTAAAATATAAAGTATGTATCTTGACTTAGAAAGGTTAGACATCTTATAGATTAGACCTTGAGAACTTTGCTCAAAGTTTAACATTGTAAAAATGTTAACTAAAAACTGAAACATTTTGATTTGTTATCACCGTATTAGGTGCAGGTGAGAAAATTAAATCATTGTTTTATTATAGATATACAGTAAGTTAGGAAGTGGTAAAAGTTTAACAAATCTGAATTAAGTTGTGATTTAAAAGTTAATTGTTAAATATATAAATATCTACCCTGACACACAAACACACACACCCTTTTTTTTACTGCCCATCATGAGGGGGGCAGCAGACCACACACAGCAGGTCGACTTCTGTCGTTAGTCTTTGTTTTAACAAGGGTTTTTGTAATTTTATTGGACACCTTGGGGTCTCCGGTCATCTGGCCTCTGCCCTTTGACCTTTCCTGGTCACATTGAGCTTCAGCTGGTGCAGTGGTAGAGACTGTAGCACTGAGACAGTAGGTCTTAGTGAGACCACCCATGTGGGGCAGCGTCTTCTGCTTGGACTCCCGTCTTCTTACCTAATAAATGTAAGTGGTTGGTGTTATCCCACAAGGGAGTTTTAGTTGAGTTTAATAGAGTTTAAAGCGGTCGTTAGGGACTTTATGAAAGATAAAAAAACATGAATTATGATGATTATTATACTTTCTTCAACTCACTTCACAAAAAAGTTACAACCTCACTGCAGTACTGCTGTTGACCCGGAGAGGTCACTGTTAAAGAACTATTTTTGCTCACATTTGTTTGTCCTCAGTAGTTAGATTAATTCTCAAGTTAACTTCACAACCTCCAATTTTTATGACATATTTTTGTCTGCAAAACAAAATATAAAAAAACCCCGTTATGTTGAAACAGCATATTGGAAATAAATAAAAGATAAACAAATCTTTTCATTTAAAACCCAATAGAGGAACCTGAGCAGGTGAGCACGGATGTGGGCGTGGCCTGTGGAAGAAGCGATCAGAACCCGGAAGTGAAACAGTGTAAAGATACAGCGAAAGGTAAGTCCATAGAAACAAAACCAATAATGTCGAATTATCCCAAAATGTTTGAAATAAATAAATCACTAAAACAGTGAGAAACAAGATAAATGTTAAATAGCGGGGTAAAGTCGAAGCGGTGTTTCTGTTAGGACGAGTTTCCCCCCAACGACTACAATCGTTTACTCATTTCAAAGATGGTGGACATGACACAGTGACTTCCGACACCGACTCCTCCTCTTCTGTCCTCGGTGCTCCGCCTGCCTCGCAGGTGACACATTGAGTTGGAGCTTCTTGGCCTCCCATTGGAGACAGCAGATCTAAAATGAGATCTTCTGCTCCCGCACAGTGTCAGCGGAGATAAGAGCCCGAGCAGTAGCCACAGGTCAGAGGGTCGAGTGAAGAAATGTCGGACCAGAGGGTGAGGGAAGGGAAGGGGAGTGATGAGACCACCGTCAGTCTGCCCAGCTCTGCTCATTTTCACCTCATTTCAACACATCTATCACACAAACACATACAGCAGGTGTGTGTGTGTGTGCGCGAGCGAGCGCGGTCGTGTGAAAGCTCAAACTCTAATTAACCCGCGCGCGGCCGTGTGAAAGCTCAAACTCTAATTAACCAGATTCTCAGGTGACATCACACTTCATGGTTTCTGATTAATAAGACATTTGCGGCTCTGCAGTGGAAAATTATTTAATTAGACCAACGACGCGACCCTGCCCCCTTGTGTCGTAAAATAGCTATAGCAGCCAGAGGGAAAGTCTGCAGTTTTCGTTGCCGTTGGTTTGGAGTCACAGTCAACGTTTGTTTCATGAGCAAAATTTACACGAAGCAGAACGTGAAGTTATTAGATAGATTTTTAGTCGTATGTGTTTCTGAAAACATTTCTGTCGTTATACATATTTAAAAGGAAAGAGGATTATCATCGTCATCAGATGATCGTCATTTTTCATATTTATTTTTCTGTTCTATATAATAAGAACAAAAATAATGATAAGGCAGTTTTTTTTTTACTTTTTCTAAGATTTGCTGCCATGTCTAATGGAAACAGTAAACTTCATCACTGCATCACTGCCAGGAGGAAGAGTTTTCTTTATCACAGATCTGAGAATCCATAATCCTCTGAGCCTCAGTAAAATACATCAAGTTGGCCTCAGAGCAAACATGCAGATCTTGGGATAATATGCAGCTAAACTCATATTTTTCTTCAGTTTCCCATGGGTCTTTAATTGTGAAGTTTTTATATATATATAGTACTAGTGTCTGTAATTTTTACTACAGCACATGTGCTACACTCCAGTCCAGTCCAGAGTTTTTCTTCTTCTCCTCCTGTGTCTTGGTCGGCAGCTTCTGATCAGAGAACTTGTGAAAACATCTCTCTTTTAGAAAAGGCCAGTGTGTGTGTTTAAAGCAGCAGACGGTTGGACTCTTAAATCTGTGGACTCCAGTCCTCTAGCTCATCCTTTATAATTCTGGCTTACTTTTTCTCTGCAACAACTTTCTGCAGAAACTTCTGAGTCTTTTGATACAGCACTTGAAGATTGCGTCTTAAGGACTCTGAGCCACGGGCGACTTTAGCTTGTTTATGGTAGAGCCAGGAAGCCTAGTAAACAAAAAGTCTTTAAGCAGCCTGAGTTTGGAGCAGCAGCAGCAGCAGCAGTAGCTTTAGGCTCAGTGATTGAGAGTGAAGAGACTTAGGTTTTCTCTTTATTATGTGGCTCTTGTTTTTTTAATGTTTCCAACTGTGCTGTCACGGCGCAGCTCCTCGCCCGTCACTCAGCCTCCATCCACTCTGAAACATTCCCCGAACCTTCTGACAGGTTTGACGTCCATCGATCGGCAGACTGTGAATCCGCTGACATTGACGAGTGTCTGACATTTCACTGAGAGATTTGTTACAGTAAAAAATAAAAATAAAAATCTCTACAAATGTCACCAGTAGAGCTGCAGATCTATTTATTTACGGGGATTTATGAATTTGAATTATTATATAAATGTAAAATTGCAGGTGTAAATTTGCAGGTAATTTGTTCTGAAGTTTTTATTGGTAGTAAAATATAATTTTATTGGACTCATTAATTTTCATATAAAAAATTTTACAAAAATGGCTAAAAAAGAAAACTAGCGACTGCAGCTAAAATATGTAAATAGTAAGTTTCTTTATAATGGCTAAAATATGTAAATAGTAAGTTTCTTTATTTTAGTTGAGCCATGAATTAATACAAATCAAACAGAAAATGTGGAAAAATTGTTCAGACTAACAGCTCAGAGTTTTGCTTGACGATTTCGAATGTTGAGGAAACACAAATTTAAAATAATATGGATGGATGGATGATGACTTTGTTGACCATGATGATATAATACAAATTTAAAATAATATGAATGGATGGATGATGACTTTGTTGACCATGATGATAACGACGATGGTGATGGTGATGGTGATGATAGTGATGGTGGTGGTGGTGGTTTTCTGAGAATGGTTTTCAATAGGACATTCTTCAGGAAACCCCTCAGGCCTGGAGCTCCAGGTGTTGACAGGATGAAGATGTGAAGTTTGACAGTAAAATAGTCTCTCTCTCTGATTGGTTTACTGAAAACACTGAGCTGATGAAGGAGGAGTGAAGAGTGAGAGAACAGCTGACAGAACAAGGTGAAGATCAGAGGCGTACGGAGGGGAGTGTCGTCCAAACCGAGGCTCGCCCTCGGAGCAGCTGCACGCCATGTTCCTTCAGTTGTGCAGTAACAGAGAGGACTTTGTCATTAGCCCCTCAGACCACCCTCTGCTCTCTCTTTATGTCCACTGGCTGCTTTCACACTGACTCTGAGCAGCGTTTATCTCAGGGAGGGGGAGGAATCCCACAGACTCCCATAATGTCAGCTGTCAGTGGAGAGAGAAACGCTTCATATAGAAGATGAATTTTATTTTTAAGCATCTAAGTGTCTGGATGTGTCTGAAGAACTTCCTGAAGAAGTCCTCGGACGACGTTCAGCACTTCAGATCAGAAACAGTCCCTGAGGACTGGAGTGTTCCACGGTTTAAGATTCTGCTCCGGAGCAAAGTCTTTAATCATCACTTTGCTCCGACAAAGTGTTCCTGAGAAGGACTTTAGCTGAGCTCTTAGAACATCTCAGATCAAGAAGTTTGGTTAACATTTTTCTCACCTTAGCATCAAAAGTCTTATTTTAAAGACAACTAAAAATCAGGACTAAAGCCAGAACTGAATCTGTAATGATTTGGGGCTGCATTTTGTTTACCAATAGGGTCAATCATGCAAACAACTGTAAACCTGTAATGTTTTCATCAGGAACAGCTGCAGTGCTGGTGGGTTCATCTTTGGCTCAACATTACAAAACGTCCAAGTTCGAACCTGAGAATTTTCCGGTTTTTTATGAAATATAAAGTTCAAATTCTCTATGTCATCATCAAAGAACTCCGCAGTGTATTTATTTGTTTGCCTTTTGAACGAGCCTGTTCCTGAAATTAAGTAATTGACCACTAGAGGGCAGTATTTTAATATCTAATCTTGTTTCATCGAGATTCCTGACTTTCTTTTTGTGTAAGTGTAAGTCACAGTTGTCTGGACGATTATTTTTTTCATCATTTAGATAAAATTATAGTCTTTTTTCTTACTTTGAATTTTGTTTCTTTGTTCTGTCAGATGGAAGTTAATCAGATCTGAGTTACATTTGTGCAGTGAGTACTTCTCTCCTCTCCTCTTGGCCTCTCCCCTCCCTTACCCTCCTCTCCCCTCTGCTCTTGTTTCTTCTCCTCCTTTAACAAGATATCGATCTTTCGCTCCAAAAAGCCACAGGAGCTGCAGTGACCAAAACAAGCGGGCAGTCACGGCAGACTGATGCTGGAGGCTGGAGGTGCTGCTCCTGTGTCTAATGTGGTCTGGACTGTGGCAGACTTGTTCTTCATTAGTCTCATCCCCCCTCTGTGAAATCACATGAAAAAAAAAAAAACATTCTGGAGGAGACACGTCAAAAAGCCCAGCAGCTGACAGGAGACATTTCCTCACAATTCAGTGTAAATACTACATGACGTTAATGGGATAAAAATGCAGCTGTGATTATGAACCTGGGGGGAAAAGATTTAAAGAAGAAGAAGAAGCAGCTTAGAAGCAGCAGCAGCTTAGAAGCAGCGCAGTGGTGAAGGAAACGTCTGGTTTTCCTCGACTTTTCCCACAGATTCACTGATGAGCTGCAACTGATATTTACACACTCGGCCTGTAATTCATGCAAACAACCTTGTTCCTCACACTGAAAGTCAATGCAGCATGTTAATCCTGTGTGTGTGTGTGTGAGAGAGAGAGACACACACTCATGCAGGAACAAACTGGCAGTTTCAGCAGACAGTAAACGTTTACCAGAGCAGCACTTGGTGTAAACTCACGTACTCATTGTGTGTGCGTGATTACAGAGCAGCGGCCGCTCGGACGTGTCTGTTTGTTCCGGGTGTTTCCTCTGAATGCCCACATTTTCACGACTGTAATACAGGAACAAAGATGGACCAGATGTGGAACTTGGTGCTTTTCTAGGTCACTGTGTGAACCGCTGCTTGATGGGACAGTGGTGAGAGAGGGGGGTGGGGGGGCAAAGGGTGATGGTGGTGGTGGGAGGAGGAGGGGGGCTTGCTTCCCTTCAAACTCCCAGCTGACCCAGACGGAGCGTAATTGCAGGCTGGACCCACAGTTGGGGCTTGAAATCAGTGGTTTCTTCTCGTCGGGCGCTGCTTGAAAGCCTGGGACTCCTGCAGGAGCAGCAGGTTGTTGTGCAGTTGTGGTGGTGGTGGAGCAGGAGCAGCAGGGACTGAGTGATGGGGGTTGGGGGGGGGCTTCGGCTTTCATTGATTCTAAGTGCTGAAAGCCTGAGAGTAGCAGCTGTGTGATCCTAAACCGAGGTGATGATTATCCTCAGATGGCTCCGCTCCAGACGCTCGTACAGTCGCTGGGCGCTCATTCAGACTAGATCCATTTGTACAGGAACGCATTCCTGACTTCTAGTCGGATTATTGGCTGTTTTTATTGGTCATCTTAAACACTGCCGTACAGTTCATTTGTGAAACATATTGTGACGTGTGAGTTAATTAAATTTAATAGCAATTAAAAAGCTGGATGTTAGCAAGTAGCGTGCCAAAAATTAATGAAGCTAGCAAGTTAGTAAACTGCACACAATATTATATATCATTTGGGAGTAAAATAGCAAAAAAACAATAGCTATATGTTAGCCAAAATGCTACTAACATATGGTTAAGAATAGCTTAAAGGTCATCAGGATGGTCAACATTAGTTAAAAAGCAAAATGTTAAATTAATCAATGTGTCTAAATATATCCTTTAGATCAATGAATGTATCTTAATGACATTTTCTTTTAGTTATTTATATGTGGGCTACAAAAACCATGGGCCACATAAAAGACATACGTGTGCCACAGGTGTAACAGGGGCCAGAGTTTGAATATAATCCCCTTCTTAGAATCGAAACATTTACTTTTGTAACAGTAACTGAGGTGAAATCCTGATGTAACAAAACGTGACTTTTCAACCTCACCTCACAGTTTGTTCCTCACTCCTCACCCACCAGCTTTTTTTTTTTTTTTTTTTTAAGCCAGGGACTTAGAGGCTTCCCGGTGCCTTGTTATCTCCAAGTACACGGCACCTCCAGCTTTTCCAGCTGTCATACTCCTTTCTACACGCTGGAAAAAAAAAGACTCCTCCTGTGACTGTACAGGAGGAGGAGAAGGAGGGAGAGAATGAGAGAGGAGAGAGGTAGAGAGAGAGGGGGGAGACAGCACTCTGATGTGATCTGCAGCGTGAGAGGAGAATGCATTTGGACAGATGAGAGGGAATATTAAAGATCTGTGTCTGATGACAGACGCGGGGGAGCAGTGATCAGGAACAAAGCCTAAGAATTGAACATTAGGGCTGACAAAACTGGAGTCTGTAATCCTGGGCCCCCGCTGATCACCGCCTCCCAGTGGGTGAGTCAGGTAATGAGTGTGGGGAACATGAGCGTGTTCATGTCCTCCTCATTGACTCAATCTCAAACCCTCACTCTTTACTCCCGTCACCTCCAGAGAAGTCTGCCAAAAAAAAAAAATTCAGCCGGTCCAGACTCCTTCAGACCAACGTCCTCCGTCTCAGCGTCTGCTCAGCTCTGATAAGGACACACGTAGAAATGTCTGCTGTTTGAGGCTGTTCACTGAACGTAGGAGATTCAAAAGGTGACATAATGAACCAGAACTGGGGTGAGGCAGGGTGAGGGAGGGAGAGGCAGGAGGATGGAGCCCATCAGGTTGTTGCATTTGAGTAAAAATCCTGTCTGTAAATGACAGTATAGTCCCTGCTCATCACACCGGCTAATTTAACTGAACACACACACACACACGTGCGCCGTTAAAGGTGCGATGAATATTCAGCGGAGCAGGAGACGAGAGCGTTCATCAGCAGGAGGCGACCGGAGGAGAAAGGTTTTATTGTTGGCTGTGGAGGAATGACGACTTCAGCTGAGTGTACGGAATCATTTCCTGTGTGTGTGTGTTTCCTCCAGTGAGACTGTGAGAGGTCAGAGGTGAAGACTGAGGAACAAACAGATGGAATTGACTCTGTCTTTTTTCTCCTTCCCTTCTCTTCCTTACATCCTTACTTTTTCCCTTTCTTCCTTCTTTCTTTCCTTCTTTCACTCCTTCCTACCACTCCTTCCTACCTTCTCCCCTTCCTTACTTTCTTTCCCTCCTTCTCTCCCTCCTCCCTACCTTCCTACCTACCTTCCTTCCTTCTTTCCTTTCCTCCTACCTTCTTTCCTCTCTTTTCCTCTTTTCTTCCCTTCTGCTCTCCCCCACCTTCCCTTCCTCCCTCCTTTACAAAGTTATTTTCCTCTCAGTTTCCTTGTCTCAACACCTGAGGTGAAGGTTGATCTTTGACTCTGACAACATTTTTAAACCAGCGCAGCAGACGACTTTAGACTGAAGTGTCATTTCTGTTTCCCAAAAACTTTTGATCTGCCCTCTGTGCCCCCCCCCCAACTGCCCTCGTTTGATAAAATACAGTAGAGTTTGTTGGGGGGGTGGAACCGCTCCACTCTGTGTCTCTGCAGAACTTTCTGTCCAGTTTGTGACTCACTGCTGTTTGATCACAGTTTGATGCCAGAGCCACAGTGTGAAATAAACAGAAGAGTGATGACATCAAAACAGCCGGCCGTGGATGTTTGTTCTCCGCTGCCTCCCCTCCCTCCGTGGACGATGGCGGCGGCGATGATGGTCTGGCAGCAGAGATTGTCCCCCGACACCAGGAACAATTTTCATCACCGTTGTTTGGTCCCTGACGAATGAAAACACATCCTTCGACCTCAGACTCCCGCCACCCCCGGGCAGTTTTTGCATCCTCTTGCATTATGCTGGTGTTTACACATGTGAAAGGACGGCGTCCAGGACGGCATTCTGGGTAAACACAAGTCTTGAATGTTTCTTGTTTGTAAGAGGGTCAGTGTGTCTCAGTGGCCAACCTTCACAGCCAAAAATAAATGACACCCAGAAAAAAAAGATGAATAAATGCATGAATGCATACATTAATATGAAATAAGCAACAACAAGCGCTGACTTTAAATATTAACACTTTAATTTATGCCCCGTTAGACGCTAACGCCCAGAGATTTGGGGGAAAATGAGGAGTTTCTTGGCGTTTCTGGTCAAAGTCACACGTCGTCGCTGCTCAGTTAACGCTCTGTGTTTTCTAGAATAATTTGAGAAAAAAAAATGGTCCAAAACATATTTTTATTAATAATGATGATTTATTATTTTTCATCAGGTTAATTTAACCCAAATTTGTTTTTGTATTTCGGCCAACTTACTGTAATTTTTATTTTATTTTTTACCAACTTTTAGTTTTGTTTCCCAAACTGTTTTGCTATTTTGTTTTTTACTTTTTAGTCTGTTCTGTTTTGTTTGTTTGTTTTCTAAACTTTTGTCTAAGCTGTTTTTGTTCCAGGGTTTTCTGTCGCTACTTTTTTTTTTTTTTTTTGCTTTGTTGGTGATTTTTCTGATAAATTTAAACTTATGGTTTATTTCTGCCTTTTGGTCATTGGTTGTTTTTTTTCTTCTTTTTTTTTCTTCATTTTTAACAATTTCTGTTGTATTTCTAGATATTTCAGGGCTAATGTTTTGTCTTTAAGCTTAGTTTTTTGTTCTACCATAATTTAAAATAATCATTATTAAAACAACTGGGAGCTAAGTATATTAGCCTTTTTATGTTGGAATTATTTCTTTTGTTGTCAGACTTCAGGGCAAAGGAAAAGATAAAGATAAAGTTACATAAAAGTATTTATTAAGAGCTATTTTTTTTTCTTATGAAATTCATACAAACTGGGTCAAACATTTAATCAAACGTTACATAAAAGTATTTATTAAGAGCTAAATGAATTCATTGGATGTGGTTCATTAGTCACTGTGCCGCTTAAATACAGTCTCATCAGTGTCACAGGAGAAGAAGATGGAGATGAAGAAGAAGGAGGAGATGAAGAAGAAGGAGATGAAGGAGGAGGAGGAGAAGAAGAAGCTGGACCTCAGGTACTTTTTTAAACTCCATTTTTTTCTGCTTCTCCTTGAGAGAAAAAGTTGTGAAATAATTGGAAAAATGCTGAAAGTTAAAGATGCCATTATCACAGAGGCATTGTAGAGAATTATTTTTTTCTTAGATGGAAACCTGGAAACTGTCTTCAGCCCTGAGGGGAGAAAAGAAGTCAGATTTCCCCCCAAATTCATCAGAGAAGATCACATTAAACTGCTGCAGCAGTAAAGTTTGATATGATTCTCCTGCAGGGCATCGTTGTGTTTGAATGTCATGATTAAAAAAAATCTCTCCCATCGTGAACTGAACTCTTAGATGAATCACATCTGTGCATGCGATCCAGTCCCTGCCTCCCCCCTCGTCCCCCTCCTCTCCCTCCCTCCCTCCTCCCTCCTCCTGTGTGAATGTCAGCTCTGCTGCCTATTGCAGACGCGGCTGAGGTACAAAGACTCCCCAAATCCTCCAATATGTGCAGCGATGGGCGGCACTGTAGCGCAGCCTCTCAAGTGTCAGAACTTAAAACTCCTGCGCGCCGCTCTGCCTCAGAATGTGGAGGCTCCGCGCCAACACGGTGACACTCTGAGTGTAGACACTTAGACAAGAAGCGGAGCAGGGTTTTTTTTTTCTTTTTTCTTTTTTCCTCCCTCCTCTTCTCTCCATCACCTCCTCCGTGGATGCTGTGGCTCAGACCCCCCCCCGA